GAAGAGAGATTTGGAATGATGAGGCCACAAGCCCAGAAATGCTAAGGCAGCCATCAGAAGATGGAAGAGGCAGGAATGGATTGTTCCCTAGGGTCTCCAGTGGGAGTACAGTCCTGCTGACATCTTGATTTCCGATTTCTGGACTCCAGAATTGTGCCACAATAAATTTCTGTCATGTTCATCTACCCAGTAATGGTAATTTTTTACAGCAGCCTCAGGAAATGAATACAAATAGTGTTGCTTATATTCTCTCACTGTCTGACAGAGGTTTTTGTTTTAATTGAGTGAGTGTTCTTTAACTGAAAGCTCTTTTAGTTGTTGCTCCCAGCACTCAGACGTGAATATATGGGGATCCTGGGATGAGACACCAAGCTGATTAAAAATTCCTACATGGAAAAATACCTTTAATACACTAAAAGACCCTAGAAAAATACTTAAAACAATTGTGACAGACAAAATGCTAATTTTCTTCACATAAGAACTCTTACAAAACGATAAGAAAAATACCAACAGAAAAAGAAACAGAATGGATGAAGGCTATGATTAGGCAGTTCACAGAAAAAGCTTTTAAACATGGGAAGACATGCTCAAATTCATCCATCATTAAAGAAGTGCAAATAAAACCAAAGTATCATTTTTTCACCCATCACATTGGCTAAGAGTTGTACTGCTTGATTTTTTTACTGCATCTATATTTCTCTGTCAATAAAATACTTTAAGCAAACCTACATGTTAAAAATAACATATAACAATAGATTCTGAAACCAGAAACCTGGTTTCAAATCAAGACAAATTTTCTCATTTATTCAAAATTTACCTAAAATCTTGCTTTATTTCAACCCTTCTGAGATCCTTAGGTAAATAAACTCTTCCTGCTATAAGAAGTCCATGAGTATTACACAGAATATGCTTTAAGAGAGGCAAAGCGCCCCCTCCATCATCTTTCTCCTCTTCCCTGTGCTGCCATCAAGAAGAAAGTTGGCATGGATTGTTCAAATTCTAGGACTCTTATTGGGTCAAGTTTACTAGCAATTAATGTAGGTTAAAATGTCACTCATTTTGGGTGTGGGAAGACTGAAACTCTTTCAGCATTCTCTTCTCTCCATGCTGAAAAACTGGAAGGTGTCAGGGCCCATTCCCAGCTGTGTGTGTGTGTGCGCGCGAGCCCCAGGTTGCAAAATAGTGAATGGACATAGGGTCTGCTTCTCCCAACACTACCCAAGGCCAGCCCAGCCATCCTTTGTCTCTCCTCTTCCTTCAATCACTGACAGGCCAGAGTCTGTTCTCCTTCCTGCTTCCCTTTTGCACAGACACACACAGTGCTCACTACCCCAGCAGTAGTCTAAGCCAGTTCAGTAGTAGGCAGTGAAAACAAGTACCTTCTATCTTGCTGCCTGTGTGCTTCTTTCTGAACACTCTCTGTGCCTTGCTGGATGTGTCAGATTGGCTTTTTGCCTGAAGGTTCTTAGTTCTAACCAGACTGGCCAAAAAGGACTGATGCATGCATTTCAGTTCAAATCACCCAAGTTCTTCTTACTGAGTTCCAGGTCCAAGCCCAGTCAGGAACAAAGGCACACCAGCTACTCCTGGGTGTAAAGCATCAATGCAACTTCCAGACCCTACTTGCTAAATGGGGAGGGGACTTGCTTAGACATGGCTAAATGCTCAAGAGCAGCTGGCCTGCAGCTGAGGGGACTGAGGAACACAGAAGTGGACTTGGACTTGATTTAACCCACTGCCAGGGCATAGCAGGGGCTCAATAAATGTGGACTGAGGTGATGACTGAAGTTGGAAAGACAAAAGAAACACATAGTGAATACTGTTTTTCACAATATAAGAACATGTCATCAAATACTACATTATGAGACGCAGCCGAATTTATTAGGAGATTGTACTAGTTAGGATAGAGATTATGCTACTGCAACAAAAACATCCACAGATCTGACTGGAAGAGGACAGAAGTTTATTTCTCTCTGGTATAATAACAACCATTTAGTCTAGGCTACCGAAACAGCGCTACTCTGTGTGATCATTCAGAATCAGTGCTTCTTCCACCACTGCTTAGGGCTACAGTTCCCAAGTTGTCCCAAAGTGCCTCAGTGAGCTCACAAGAGCACCATGGGATGTGTCAAATTTTTGAGAAAAACACAGTAATCCTCAATATCTGATATATACCACATAAACTACTAGCTTGAGGTAGTTCAGTTTCAACATCAGATAGCACTGCTTTCCTTTTGATGACATGAGATATTTCTGAATCTAGGTTTTTGGTGGTTGCTGTGATAAAAAGCAAGCCCTCTAAGAAAATCAATGTGGAACAGGGAATGGGGTAGTGGTGTCCAATCTGAATCCAAGGTTTGAGGAGTTGTGCAGTGCCCCATAGGTATATACATTCCATCACCAAGTGACTGCAGTTGTTTAATGTAAAATATTTTTCTTTCAGTTTATGCATATTACTTGTTACAAATGTCTACTAAATGTTGGGAGACAATTCTCCATGGATCTCTCATGGTTTTGCACATGTTGTAAGCAGAGGCAATGACTGCCTTTGATCCAGGCTATCTTTTCAAGGATGCTTGTACAGGTGGCTCTCGAACAACATGGGGGTTAGGGGTGCCAACACCAGTGCAGTCAAACATCCATATATAATTTTTGACTCCCCCGCACCTTAACAACCAATAGCCTACTGTTGACCACCTTACCGATAATATAGTCAATTAACACATATTTTATGTTACTTGTATCAATATTATATGCTACACATACACTATTATACAACAGTACTACTATATGATAATAGTACCATTATACAAAATACATGATACTATATATAATATTATTGTACTCTTACAATATACTAGAGACTATATCAATACAAGTTAATGTCATCTGTTTATGAGATTATCTGTCAGTACCTAACAACCATATTATTGTATATGATATGAAACACTGTAGATACTATGTGAATTACTAACTCTAGACATCACAAATGAAAAGATAATGTGTAAAAACAAATTCATATTTATATACAGATATATTTATATACATATATAATAATACAAAAGCAGCAATATGATTACTTCATGGTAAGCTTAGTGTAATTGATACAATTGCTTCACAGTAGCTTAGCTCATACAGTGAATGAATCCTTATAAAAATGTTATGGCATACAGTCATATTCATAATACAGTGTTGGAAACACTTACATTTTAAAAAGTCCACTTACCTATGGTGACATCGTGATACACAGCTTTCTCCAATTAGGAGGGAAGACAGAGGCATACTGCATGGTAATGTATATAACTTTGAAAGCAAAGTTACAGAACAGTAGGAAAACTAATACATTATTAATTTTATATTAAGTATCACCTTATTCCTATATAAGGTAGGCTAGCCCCTTCAATACAAGTCTTGAACATGATGTTCTACATGATGATATTTAGGCAATGATGATGATGGTGGTGATGACACAAGGTCTCATGGTTCTTGCAGTAGTTATTAGATTTTCATAGAAAGACACACACATACATAACAAATAAGTTTATTAACTGTAGCACATGATGACTGTCTACTATTCATTAAGTAGAAGTGGATCATCACAAAGGTCTTCATCCTAGTAGTCTTTTTGCTTTTTTTTTTTTTTTTTTTTTTGCGGTACGTGGGCCTCTCACTGCTGTGGTCTCTCCCGTTGCGGAGCACAGGCTCCGAACACGCAGGCTCAGCGGGCATGGCTCACGGGCCCAGCCGCTCCGCAGCATGTGGGATCTTCCCAGACCGGGGCACGAACCTGCGTCCCCTGCATCGGCAGGCGGACTCTCAACCACTGCGCCACCAGGGAAGCCCCATCCTAGTAGTCTTGATTCACATTGAGTAGGCTGAGGAGGAAGAGAAAGAGGAAGGGTTGGTCTTGCTGTCTCAGGTGTGGAAGAGGTGGAGGAGGTTGGAGGGGAGGCAGGAGAGGTACACACACAGGGTGTAACTTGACAAAAATACATCCTAATTTCTTTTTTTTTAATGTAGTATAGAGGAGCTATTTATTTATTTTATTTTATTTATTTATTTTTGGCTGCGTTGGGTCTTCGTTGCTGTGCGCAGGCTTTCTCTAGTTGCGGCGAGCGGGGGCTACTCCGTTGCGGTGCATGGGCTTCTCATTGTAGTGGCTTCTCTTGTTGCGGAGCACGAGATCCAGGTGCATGGGCTTCAGTAGTTGTGGCACGTGGGCTTAGTAGCTGTGGCTTGCAGGCTCTAGAGCACAGGCTCAGTAGTTGTGGCACACAGGCTTAGTTGCTCTGCAGCATGTGGGATCTTCCCAGACCAGGGCTGAAACCTGTGTCCCCTGCATTGGCAGGCGGATTCTTAACCACTGTGCCACCAGGGAAGTCCTTACATCCTCATTTCTATCTGACTTTTTTGCTTTTATATTTTTCTAAAAATGTTTCTATAAAGTATTAATCCTTCGGCCACTGTGTGCTTTAGTTTCAGCACCAGTATCATAGAATGGTCCATGGTGTAAAAGAAGTCAAAAGCAGTTTTTAATTATCAGAACCCTTCTGCCAGAGTGTCTAAAGTCAATTTGTTTTCTGGCACTACTTCTCCCATGTCTTTTTCCTCATTGTCTGGCACTGGTTCAGAAGCACTCCTGTCCAAGTCATCTCTTGTTAAATCCTCTGGTATGGTGTCTATTAGCTCTTTTTTTTTTTTTTTTTAAGATTTATTTATTATTTATTTTATTTATTTTTGGCCGCACTGGGTCTTAGTTGCGGCATGCCGGCTCTTTATTGCGGCGCGTGGGCTCTTTGTTGTGGTGTGTGGGCTTCTCTCTAGTTGTGGTGTGCGGGTTTTCTCTTCTCTAGTTGTAGCGCACAGGCTCCAGGGCACGTGGGCTCTGTAGTTGTGTTGCGGGGGTTCCAGAGTGCATGGGCTCTGTAGTTCGTGGCACACGGGCTCTAGCTGAGGCACGTGACCTCATTAGTTGTGGCACGCGGGCTTAGTTGCCCTGCTGCATGTGGGATCTTAGTTCCCTGACCAGGGATTGAACCCTGCATTGTAAGGCGGATTCTTTACCACTGGACCACCAGGGAAGTCTTGTCTATTAGCTCTTGAATTTCTCTAAGATCCCTATCTTGAAACCCTTCACCGCCAACCTTTTTTGCCATATCTGCAATCTCTTTCCTGATTTCCTTGATTGGTTCTGTCCTAAATCCTGTGAAGTCGCGCACATCTGGACAGTTTTCTCCAGCAGGAATTTATTGTTTGGGGCTTGATGGTCTTCACAGCTTTTCCTATAATAACACAGCATCTTCAGTGGTATAATCCTGCCAGACTTCCATGATCTTTCTCTACCATAGCACTGACAATTTTTTCCATGGAGTACCATGTGTAATGAGCCATCAAGGTCCCTAAGATCCCCTGATCTACAGAATGAATTAGATGTGTTTGGAGGCAAGAAGACCACTTCAGTGCCTTCAGTGTTGAACTCATGGGGTTCTGGGTGGCCAGGGAAGTACTGTCCAAATCAAATAAATTTTAAAAGGCAGTCCTTTACTGGCAATGTAATTCCTGACTTCAAGGACAAAGCATGGACGGAACCAATCTAGAAAAAGGGTTCTCAATGTCCAAGCTTCCTTGCTGTAGTACAACCAAAAGACTGGCATCTGCTGTTTATCTTTCCCCTCAAGGCTCGGGGGTTAGCAGCTTTATAGATAAGGGCAGTCCTGATCCTAAACCCCGCTGCATTTGTGCAAAACAGGAGAGTTAGCCTATCCCTTTCTGTCTTAAATCCTAGTATTCACTTCCCTTCCTTACTAGTAAATGTCCTTTGTGGCATTTTTTTTTTCCCAGAATAGGGCACTCTTGTCTACATTAAAAACCTGTTCAGCCTGCTATTGTTTCTCCTCAATGGTTTTTTTAATTGTGCCTGGGAACTGGTCTGCTCCCTCTTGGTCATCCTCCTGTTATTTGACATTTTTTTTAAAGCCAAAACTCTTTCTAAAATTATCAAACCAACCTTTGCTGGCATTAAATTCTCCAGCTTTAGATCCTTCACCTTCCTTTTGCTTGAAGTCATCATATAATGACTGCTTTTTCTCAAATCATATTAGTAGGTATGCCTTTCTTATAGCAATCCTATACCTACAAAAAAGCTACATTTTCAATATAAAATAAAAAGTTATTTCACAAAAAGTACATTTTCATGTATACTGGCATAGGTGTAGTGATGCTTTCACGTATTTCCTTTTCTTTTCTTTTCTTTTTTTTTTACAATGGTCTTTATGCTGGATTCATTTATCCTCAAATGTCTGGCAACCGCAGCTACAGATCTCAGTCTACAGTATACATCAAGCAATTCAGCTTTTTCTTGAAATGTCAAGACTTTTCTCTGCTTCCTGGGGGCACTTCCAGCAACACTAGTGGCACTTCTAATGAGTCCCATGGGGTTATTCAAGGTTTACAGTATTGCACTAAACACGAAGAAAAATATGCAAGAACTGTAAGACATCACTTTTTACTGTGATAAGCAGTTTAGTGGAAAGATGAAGTGCTCACGTGGAGACGATTAGTGTCACATGGCATTTTAAGTGGATACCCACAAAACTTGAGCTCACCACAATATTAAAAGGAGGTTAACTATTATAATAGTACAATATGCACTATAGTTAATTTTATGCAGTTTATGATTCAATACTGCATATTTATGCTTGTTTATATCTCTCTCAACTGCAAAAGGGCCATGTACTATCTATAAGTCTTTGCACAAGTTTTGATAAATTTTAACTCTTGTTAATAGATTTGTGTATATTTTATGGTAGAAAATGATGAAATAGACTAGTATCTATACATATTTTATACATTCATGACATATCTTTTTATTATTATTTTCAATATTTCTAGGCTACATGGTTAGTCTGTGAATTTTTCAAATTGTTGCAAATCTCCAAATAATTTTCCAAAATGTTTATTGAAAATAATCCACATATAAGTGGAACTATGCAGTTCAAACCTGTGTTGTTTAAGGGTCAATTGTATCTGATAATTTCTTATTTTGCCTCTCTGATAATTATACATACTTCACTCTGTAACCTTTCAGTATCCAGTCCTATATCACTCTGCCTTGATCAGGCTTTCCCAGTTATAAGCCTGACTTCTCACAATTGCCTATCAGACAAATGGCTTCTAGCCTAGCTGTCTAATACAGCAGTAACTAGCCACATGTCACTACTGAGCACCTGAAATATGGCCATTCTGAAATGAGATATGTTGTTAGTATAAACTACACACTGGACTTCAAAGACAATATCTCACACACACAAAAATATAAAATTCTCATTAATAATTTTTACGTTGATTATATGTTGAAATAACATTTTGGATGTATCAGGTCAAATAAAAAATATTATTAAAATTACTTTCATCTATTTCCTTTTTTTAAATATAAATTTATTTATTTATTTTTGGCTGCATTGGGTTTTCGTTGCTGCGTGCAGGCTTTCTCTAGTTGTGGTGCAAGGGCTTACCACTGCAGTGGCTTCTCTTGTTGCAGAGCACGGGCTCTAGGCACACGGGCTTCAACAGTTGTGTCACATGGGCTCTAGAGCGCAGGCTCAGTAGTTGTGGCTCATGGGCTTAGTTGCTCTGCGGCATGTGGGATCTTCCTGGGCCAGGGATTGAACCTGTGTCCCCTGCATTGGCAGGCGGATTCTTAACAACTGCACCACAAGGGAAGTCCCATCTATTTCCTTTTTACCTTAATATGGTGTCTAGAAAATTTTTAATTGCATATGTAATTCACATTATATTTCTACTGGATAGCACTAGAAAATATATTCCGTGAAAATATCAAAAATATTTTGGGAAAATATGCAATATAGGACATAATAATTATTAAAAGCATTTCAGGTTTTGAGGTGCCTATATATAAAGGTATAAGTCAAAAAGTAAATTAAGGATTTCCAGTGAATTATCTATATCTAATGTATAATCGTGGAAGTCAACTAAGAAGTGAATTGCCAGTTAGTTGGGAAATGGAAAAATAGATTGGTATTTCTCCACAAAAGTTCTTTAAAAAAGTAAAATCACATCTGGACACTTTTATTTTTAAAAAGATCAGGTTTATTTAAGAAAGGAAAAGCTTTGGCTTATTACTCAGTTTAAAAACAACAGTAAATCATAAAAGGTTGATCAGAAACATCAAGTTCTCCCAAAGAGTCAGAAGTCAAGAAACAGAAAATGCCCCACATTCTTAGCCCACTTCCTGTCCTTAGAAAACAATCTAAGATGATACACTGTTTGTGAGCAAAAACAGCATGAGTGACATTTTCAAATGCTTGCCTTCAATCCTTAGAGAATTCCTAATAGAATATAGAATATTATATTACAATATAGCTAATAGAATATAGCTCTATTGTCTTAACAGGAAGACATAAACTGAGCTGTGTCTCCTCAAAGGCCAAATAGTATCTTGTGTTCCAAAGGAAACAGGGGTTCTTTAGTAGGTCTAGAGAGGACTACTGACAGGAAACCCTACCAGAAACAGGCAAAATGAGGACCTCTGGTTATCAGAAAATATGAAGTAAAAGAAAACTACTAGACTCCTGAAAAATACAATTTTCCCACTCATAAAATCCCAACAACACTCCCCAATAGAAGATTAAAGAGCCTGGTCCAAGGACACAGGATCCACTTATAGGTTCAACAAACACACACTCGGTGTCAGACACTGCATGTCAGGCACCATTCTCAGAGCTGAAAATACAAAGTCATATTAAGACATGTTCCCTGCCTCTGAAAACTGAATAGTGTAGTGAGTGAGGTAGGCATATAAATCAACAGTTACTATCTGGTATACACATTCTGTCAGAAGTTATTTAAGGAAAATATGCCATATATAGTCACAAGGATAGATCTAAATCAGGGGCTCAGCGAACAACCTGCAGGCCAAATCTGCCCTCATCTGCCATCTGCTTTTGTAAATAAAGTTTTATTGGTTTACGTATTGTCTATGGCTGCTTTTCACTACACAACAGAGTTCAACACACAACAGGTAAGGTAAACAAAGACTAAAATATTTAATATCTGACCCTTCAGAGAAAATGTTTGCCAACCTCTGGTCTAAATCAAATTGAGGGGTCAGGTAAGGTATCCTGAAGGAGATGAGAGTTAATATAAGTTTTGCAGAATAAGTGAGATTTACTTGAAAAAAGTAATAAGCACCCTTTTCCCTATTACCCATTTTTGAGGAGGCATGGGTGACAGGGCATTCCAGGTTGAGGGAATGGACCCATGGAAAGGTAAAGAGGCCTAAAACAGCATAAAGAACTCAATTTTATCCTAGAGAACACAGAAAAGCTGAAGGCAGCTCTCAGCAGAAACACATGGCATTAACAATGAGTTCTCAATCATAAAAAACACAGCCAGTGTTGGTTCTTAGGCTTTCTCTTAGCCCTGCCTGCCCTCAGGTGAAGCATGCTGTTCCTGACTTCAAGGTAGGAATACACCCGAGTCAAAACCCAGGGTCTGCCTGCTTTGGAGCAGCCAAACCTCGATTCTCTGCTTTGCTACGTAGACAGGAGGCCAGCTCTGGGTGAAGTGTGTTACAGTTTCTCTCCAAACCTACTTTCACCTAGACAGACCCCAAGGTGTATATCTGAGAGAATCAAAAGCCTGAGCCCTATCCCTCAATAGAGTACACTAAAAGCAAAAGCCCTATTTTCAGGGAGTATTAGAACTCATACTCTATTTTAATGATTAAAAAAAATTCGTCCTAATCCCAGAGTTCTTCAACAGCCTCTAAACATAAGAAGATCTAATAGAGGTGTATCACATTTCATGAATGAATCTCTGGAATCAGACAAAGGAGAAATCAGAGTACTTTTTAAAAGTACTGTTGTCAGGGGCTTCCCTGGTGGTGCAGTGGTTGAGAGTCCGCCTGCCGATGCAGGGGACACGGGTTCGTGCCCCGGTCCGGGAAGATCCCACATGCCACGGAGCGGCTGGGCCCGTGAGCCATGGCCGCTGAGCCTGCGCGTCTGGAGCCTGTGCTCCGCAACGGGAGAGGCCACAGCAGTGAGAGGCCCGCGTACGGCAAAAAAAAAAAAAGTACTGTTGTCAGCTTTACAAAAAGATTCTCAATGCATATAGATGTATATATCTAAGGCATTAAAGCAAGGAATACCTTATAATTAAATTTAGCTCAAAACATCAACGATAATTTTGACAATATACTTTACAATTCAAAGGAAACCAGTTCAAGAAAGATACCAATGCAAAGATAACTTTCACTAGT